GGCCCTGCTGGGGATCCCCCACAGGCCAGGAGGTAGGGGGACATCAGCTCCCCCATGGGCTCGGTCTGGGTGGAGGCCTCAGACCAGCCCCGGTTAACCTTGTCCCCCTGGGCAGAGGCCCTAGCAGCACTCCTCGTAGACACCATTCTAAGCTGCTGTTTGTAGATCTGTGTGGTGTCTATGCCCTACCCGTACAGGAGTCTCACTCCTGGCCCTCCCGGCCTGACCGCCGGTGTGAACGCCTGCACAAACGCTGGCACGCTCTTACAGAGCCCACCCTGTTTGCGTGCTCTGTTCGCGCTGCGCGGCTTAAATTCTGAACAGAAATTAAAGGCGGACGTTAAAGATGTACTGGGGGAGGCAGCAGCAAGGTTTGTACACAGCCTGGATATGGCAGGCAAGGGAGAGAGAGCCCTCACAGCTTGACTGCTGGGTTACAAACCCAAGTGACAGGAAGGGGGACTGTTGAATTGTCACAGCAACAGAAGTAGCCACTCGGATCCACAGATGATGTAAACCAGTAGAGCTACCTGCATCACCTGGATTCCAGCCATGGATTGGATGCTTCCTCAGTCTGGGGCACGTACGTAAGTGCCAGAGGTCCAGTGCTTCCAGGGTTCCTGGCTCTAGGACACGACCTCCAGGACTGCCCCATGGCTGGGTACCCTGAGGTTCTGGGACAGCTGGACCTACTTAGATGTCTAGGCTATCTGCCTCGGAGTCCTGGCACCAGCCAGAGATCCTGGCCCTGGAATCCTGACAAAAATGTCAGCTGCAGGGTCCAGGAGACCTTTTGGATTGGTGTTAGTGTATCTGCAAAAATATTTTCTCCAAATTTTTGGTGTGTGGGCAATGTCCACATCTGGGACAAGTTTTCCATAAAAACTCACACAGTTATTCTATCAGGGGTGTATTTGGTAGCTGTGTTGGTCTGAGACAAAAAGACATACAAAAAACCAAGAGTTCTAGTTATTCTATTGTACACTGACAAATCCCCCCTTGAAACTCCCCTTTATGATTCCTACCAAAACAAACAAAAACCTTGATGAAGTTTAAGCATCTGGTTTACTGTAACTATTGAGACATGGTAGTGAGCCATGAAGTCAGGTAAAATGCATGGTGGATTTGCACCTTGTAGACTAACCAAAGTGTGTGTGTGTGTGTGTGTGTGTGTGTGTGTGATGCTGATCAGCTGCTGAGCTTCAACTTGTGAAAGCTTGTGCTTATATATATACGTGTGTGTGTGTGTACATTTCTCTATTTTATATATATATATATATATATATGTATATATATATATAATGTATATGCACAGATTCAGACTAGACTTCATTTTTTTGCCTGGAGTTAGAGGACTGGTCTATGCTCAGAGAAAACAGCTAAATATATATAAGCACAAGCTTTCACAAGTTGAAGCTCAACATCTGATGCAATCAGCTTCAGCTCATGCAAGATTTTATATAGAGAGATACAACATCTACTTTGGTTAGTCTGTAAAGTGCACATCTACCCTGCCTTGTACTATGACTATTACCAAGTATCCTGACCCGTGTTGTCTCATTGTGTTCTTTCCTGTGTCCATAGCTGTCTGTTATATCTCATATTGTACTTAGGCTTTAAGCTCTGGGGCAGAGACTGTCTTTTTGCTTTCTATTTGTAGAGTGGCCTCTTGGTGTAGGATGAGTATTCTTAGGTGCTATGGTAATACAAATAATAATCATCATCATAGTAATGATACATATTACAGATAGGGAAACTTGGGCAAAAAAATGAAGTCTAATCTGAATCTCTTCATATACTTGTTCAAGACAAGCTGGTCACCTGTTTTAAACAGATGTAAGAAAGCTTACAAGATCTCTTGTAGATATTGGTTAAGTGACCTGATAAGGCAGGGGCAGGCAATTATTTTGGGCGGAGGGCCGCTTACTGAGTTTTGGCAAGCCATCTAGGGCCACATGACGGACAGCCCTAGGCAGATAAATATTAATTTTCTAAAATTTTTAGGGGCCCCGCAGGCCTGATAAAATGGCCTGGTGGGCCGCATCCAGCCCCCAGGCCACATTTTGCCCACCCCTGTGATAAGGGCTACAGATAAATCATTCTCAGAACTGAGACTAAAACTAAGTGCTCTTGGGTAAGGATATGAATTTGTCATAAAACCCATGAGTTGGAAGAAAGTCTGTGAAACTCTGCAAATGGCTGTAACACACATCTAGCCCAGTGGATCCCTTATTTTATGCACTTACATCAATACCCAACCTCTCCATTGATGCACATGTTTGCATCAGACTCTTGCATAATGCACTCTCACATACCCTTGCATAATGCACTCTCACATACCCTCACATAATGCACTCTCACATGCTCTTACGCACTTATCAGACTCTCACATAATGCACCTCACCAATCAGTGAGAAGTGAACCCACAATACATCATGGGAGCTATATCTACACTGCCTTCTGAGCTGTAGTTCAGGCAGGAATCTCAGCCTAGAGGGAAGAAAGGGAGCATTGGCCCTGCAAACTACAATTCCCATGAGGCAGTGCACTACTAAGGGAAATGTGCTTGGTGGAGTTATTGGAGGACTGTTAGGTATATTGTTGTAATGGAAAGAGGATAAACTGGTAACCTTTTGATTAAATATTGCTTTGCCCCCAACATGCACGCACCTTTGCCATGAAATTCACTAAACACTACTGTGTGCAAATCATAGCCTCGTTCTTCGATATCAACCCTGTGCTCAGATCATGTGGCATTGCTGGATTGTCAACACTACAGGGTAAGATCTTTGCTCAGTTTGCAAGGGGTATTCACTTACCAGTGCAAAGCAGGTGGACAGCAACAGAACTGATGTAAACTAGGGAGACAATCATTTCAGCTAGTTTCCTTGCCCTGAATTCGATAATGGTTATAAGTAGAGACTTTTGATATTTTAATTGGCCCGCTAAAATAAATGACTTTCCCTGGACAAGTAGGATTTTTTTGCATGGCTAGTTTAAACTCACCAACCCCAAGGGAGGCAGGTTTCTTAAGCTGGCTTCTCCATCAGTACTGAGTGGGTAAACTAAGATTTTCAAGAACCGATGCCTCCTCTACTCCCAGAGAAGGAGGTGCATTTGGATTGCATCACAGTGGGACAGCACAGTGGGATATATGCCACTGTCCTGTCCTGCCTGCAGCAGCCTGAGCCACTGCAGAGGTTAATGTAGGCTCTGTTGAACTGTTCATTTATGTTTCTTTCCTTCTGTCTGTATTGCTATTAATGTCAAACAGGCCCAGATCAGGAGACAGGGCCACATTTTCCTATGCACTATACTCCTGTACAATAGAGAATTTACTGTCTAGCCATCCTGTTTTTCTCCTTCTGGGTGTAAAAGCTGCCCTCATTAGCTCTTACTTCTGTTGCCCTGAGCATCTTGTTCACTCACTTCTCATTTCTCTATTTGTTCTTCCAGGGTCTATATCATGTCCAGATAAAATCTAGTGCCTGAGGTGAGAAACAACCTGGGACAACGCCATCAAGGGGTTAAGGGATCTGTGTCCTGTGTCCTTCATCTGGTGAGGGAAGCATTCTGAAACCTTCCCCAAGAGCCTGCTGGTGAGGTCACTTCCCCATAACCCTGGTAGGGATGGAGTCCAAAGGAACCGCACGCAGTGGAGGCAAATCTGACATCAAGGCCACCAGCACAGGGAAGCCAGAGAAACCCAATCCTGGGCCTGCCACAAATGCAGACAAGAAGGAGACCCCCTCCAAGGAGCAGCCCGCCCCTGTCCCCACCACCACTACAACGAAGAAGGCAGCCAGCGAGGCTGCTGTGGCAAACAACCACAGCAATCTGAAACCTAGCTCAGCAGCCACGGAGACACCAGAGGCCACCAGCCAGTCCTCTGACTCTGAGCATAAGGGAGACAGCACCGAGGAGTCCCCAGGCAGCATCTTCGACAATATGAAGCCCTTGATCGTCGCTGGAGGGGTGGCAGTGGCTGCTATCGCTGTGATTCTGGGTGTGGTGTTCCTAGCCCGGAAAAAATGAAGACTGAGAAGGGGTGGGGGAGAGGAACCGTATCAATTGTACAGCTCCTTTTGAGAAAAATGCATGCAGTAAATTCTATACATATCTATACTTATATCTATAGAGAGAGAGCTAGATAGGCAATTACAACACCACCACCAACTCCAAAAGGCTTGCTCAAGACAGATGTGCCCGTTCAACCTAAGTGTGGGATCACCATGCACTCAATGTGTTCTCTCATGTAATAGAAATTGGCTTGTACCACTGTGTATTGATTACAGCTTCTCCTGATCAGTGTAAATGATGGTGTCCCCTCCCCGCCCTGCTGTCCTCTCCAGAAGAGTCCTCACTTTCCCCATTTTCAAGTCTACATCCCATCCAAAGTCCTCACTTTAGTATTTGGTTTGGGTTTTTTCTCGGTAGAGTTGTGGTAGAGGAGATGATGAAAGGGAGGGGAATAGTACTGAGACCCAGTTCATTTATTATTGTGATATATTGTTAATATAGCACTCCAGGTGTGTGTTGGATAAGAGGAGGCAGCCCCTTGCTCAGACAGCTTATAGTGATATCTAATGGGTACACTGTGCATCTAATGCTCATCGACCTACCTTAAAAGAAAAACCAAGTAAAGTAACAAGAGTATACCATAGCCACAGGCTGAGATCCCAACCGGACATAGAGGCTTGTGGATCTCATGGAAAGAAGGCACCCTTTCTCTGCCTGAGATGCAAACCACGGCCAGGAGCAGCTACCATGAAGCTCAAGGGGTCAGTGTGATCCACTGAGATCTACAGTGTAGGCTGCAGTCCACGGAGACCACATGCAAAGCTGGAAGCCCCACTCTATCTTTAGTCATACAAAGGACAATTTCATGCCTTCAGGACCCCAACAATTTGTCAACTCAGAGAAGGTTATAAGGGCAAAGTTTGGGCAGTCCCTCTCAAGAGAATGAGGGGGGAGATATTGTTTAGGCCACAGCATTTGACAAACCTGAGCTGGCCTTAGTAGACCTTTAAAGACTTGCGCCAAATCCCTCTGTAGTCATCCAGAGTCTTTCCATTAATTTTGGTGGGTTTTGGATCAGGCCCTTTATTCTGGGGCTTTTCCAAAAAAGGCTGACCTTTCCCCATCAGTTAAGAATGTTAAAGAAAAGGAAGACAACCAACACCTGGCTTTCAGGGCAAGTGGCACAAAATAACATGGCCTCTTTTATGTCAGGAAAACCATATGCCTGAGTGGTAAAAACAGATTTGTTCTAGAAAAGATTTTGCTCCTTTCTTTCTTAAATTTACCAGGAAAATATGAGACATCCATGGTTTGAAAATGGAAACAATTTCCCAATGATCAGGTGCAGAACAGCTTGGTTTTGTTATTGAGGAACCCGAAATCTAAAAATCAGACTGGAAGGAAGGGAGGAATGAAGAAAGGGTGTTGAGAGAGAGGTGGCTTGATTTAACACATTCACTCATGTCCTTCTTGTGACATGGAGAGCACTGGCCATACACAGTTATTCTGAGGGCTGAGTGACCTTTTCAAATCAACAGCACCCATGAGGAGCCACATTTCCTGCTGCTCTTGCCAGAATCTGTAAATGATTTTTTTGCCAAGGTGTTGTTCTTAAAAGGGGAACACCCTTTTAAGTGTCATTCATAGTGTCTGTCATTCACTCAGAATAGAATGACATAGAATTGCTGGAGCATGACAGTGATACCTGCTCTTCCATGAGTCTGCTAACTATGAGTATTATGCCAGTTTTGCAGATGGCACACAATAACCAGAGAAAATGGGTTAAATTCAGTAGGGAGGCATGTAAGGTATATATCTGCAAGGGACCCCTAGTATAAGGAAGTCTACGTGGTTATAAGGAGGATGTGAAGGCACAAAAGTCTGCCAAAATTCTTAGTTCCTTGCATTATCCTCTGAAATATCTAGTGTAACCACTATGAGACTAGATGGTCCATGTGTATGGTCCAGTCAGGCAATTCGTATGTTTCTGACCCAGTTTCCCTAGAAACACCTCTGAATTCAGCCTGCTAAATACCCGGGGCTCACTTAAACTAAACGTTTCAGCACAGCTTCTTTACAAATTCCTTTGTCTTCCTACCAGGGCCAGCATTTAAGGCAGTCTCTACCCTGCAATTGCAGGATGCCTAAAGCTGGGCAAGGGTCCATGTTGTGTTAGGCTCATGTTCTTATAATGGTTGTCTCATAAAAAGTAAGTGCCCAAAACTAAACCTTTGCATGGACACCCTGCCCCCCAGTGAACCTCATTTTTCACCTCTGCTGCTCAACAGGACTCCCAAAATATTCCCAAGTGTCTACAACCTCCATCAGTGTATCTCTTAATGCCCAAATGGTTGTGTATTTCTGAGTTTTTAACTTACATATATGTATATATTTGTTCTTTTCCAGTGCACAGACTGATGCAATATAGTCAGGATTGCGATGCTGATGAAGTCAGTGCTAACAGCTGCCATGTTTAAAGTTGGTGGGCGTGCTAGCACACTTTCTCTTATGTTGTTATTTCCCACTTTAAATATTTACTTTGTAAACCACTCCCTTCTTTAATGTTACATGAGAAGCCTATGAGAAAGCCATAGTAAGAATATACTAGCTATACCATAGGAGGACTCCTTATTAATATCAAGCCTTGTTGTTATTGACTGCTTGTTTCTTGAATAGCATTTCCTTGCTATTTTTTCTCCATGATGTGTTGCAGGTGCTCAGAGGTTAAATTATTACTGTGAAGCTGGGGAGGGCAAAAAAATGAAAATGGAGAAGGAGACTCAGTAGCAAGCACCAAATAGACACATTTGAGATGGTGAAGAGCTAGTAACAATTATCTAGTCTGTCCACACAGTCTGTAGACTTGTAGTGTTGATAAAGCTGAAAGATTTCTAGTTTCAAATGGAAATGACCTCTTCAAGAGGTACATTCCTCTCTGTTATTCTCCCATTTGGTTATAACATGTGCATTTACCAGCAGAGAGGGTGTGGAAAGACTCATAGATTTCCCACTCCCTGCTTTGACCTTCCAAGGCAGACAAAGAAACATCAGATGTTTCCTGAGAGCCTCTCTTTTGATTTTCTTTTCTTTTTTCTTTTTAAACGTGTGCTTAATTTGGCTGGAATAGTCTTGGGAAAACCAAGGGAGGAAATGTTGTAAGATGAGGTGGGCCTGAGCCACAAATTTTCCATCCACATTTGAACAGGTTTCCAAAACGTTCAAAGGCAAGATTTGGATCCAGGTCTTTCCGTAGTGCTAGAGCAGTAAGTTGATCTTGAAAAAGGATGGGGAGATAATTGAAACATAGGAGATGGTGATGGGGGTGGGACTACAGCTTATCATCTTAAAAAAAACCCTTGCCTTGCAGTGGTATAATAGCTTATGTCTATAAGGGAATCATTCACTTAATGGCATTGCTGGACACTGTTCTCCACTGTCAAGAATCATTCTGCAGAACCCAGGCCTTTTGCTATTATGAAACACCTATTTTTTCTTTGGGTATGTATACACCCCCTGCCCTCTTCAAGTATGCTGCATGTATATGTATATGTATGTATATTTGTGTATATACATATATATATATATATATTATTGCTGGATTGGTAAAGCCCCAATGACCCATACTCTTTTTCTTAAAAAAATGCGAATATCCTTTACTTGTTCACTGCATTCAAACAAAGTGTCCCTGTTCTCTCTCTTTCTCCCTCCCCCCCCACCCCTTCTTTGGTATGATTCATATTTCTGCCATGAAGGACCCCAAAATATTTTTTGATCATGGTTTCTTGCCACTAAAAGAATATGTAGCTAACAAACCGTTGAATGTACAGTACCCCCATTGCTCTAGAGTGGTTCTCAACCTATTTCCCATAGCGGACCACACTTGCAGCTCAACATGTTTCGTGGGCCGCACCTACACAACTTACTTCCTGTGTATCCATTTTAAATATGTTTTAATAGGATGTCATATGGGCCACGGCAATGTGCTGATTGGGCTGCATGTAGCCTGCGGACCACAGGTTGAGAACCACCGCTCTAGAAGCTGAAAATGACTACACCTTCCCTCCACAAAGGAGCCACTTGTGTGACTCACTTTGAAAAAGGTGTTTCCTCTTTTAGAATATTTTGGAATGTACTGTAATGTATCATAGTGCTTATAAGAGCGTAGAACTAGTGTTGATTTGAGTCAGATATATCACAAGTAGGTGCCATGCAGGCTTCTAAACACACAGCTGTGCCAATGCATTCTTGTCCTCGCTTTGAACTACCCGTCTTTAGGAAATGTCGTCTGCTATGTCTTATTGTGCCAGGCTGTTTGGTGGTTTCATGTAGGAGCAAATCCAGTGAGAACTAGACTGAGAAGAGCAAGTTCATTTCTCTAGGAAACTGGAGACAGACTGAAACTCAACTTGTTGAGAAGTGAAAGGCGAATGAATGAACTTGCTATGCTAAATAATTAGTTGTCCTGTACTGCAGCAGCACTGATGATCACATGCCGTTGTTTGCTTGATGTTCTTTTTGTGTTGTGTTTGTAATATGAGGTCCTTATAGTGAGGAGTATGGATTAAAGCTCAAAACTGATAAGATTCTGTGCTTGGGATTTGAAGGGATCTAGATTGCTAGTTTACTCTTTTTGATTAAGTTTATATATTAGAAATCTAAGAAACTAAGTATACCAACTTTGCAGTAAAAAATTCAGCATTCATTAAAACTTAATTACCAGTTATGATCTGGTCTGTGTTGTAGGCACCACACCTTTCTGCTTAATGCAAGGTTGTGGTTTTTATCTCCTGAATCATTTAGTTTTCCCTCTCCAGCTGAAATTGAACATTTTTTCTTCCTCTTCCCATTGACTTAAATGTCCTTTGGATCATTTCCTTTACTCTTAACAGATTTGCTGTGAGCTGGAGTCAAATGTAGGAGCCCGCGGGGTACTGTGACCAGTGGTGGCCTTAGAGGGGAGCAAAGTGGTTGACCGCAACCACACTTTAGGGGGCCCCAAAATTTTGCAACAAGTGTCTGGCTTGCTTATAGATCATCAAAATTAAGCCTCTAAGGCGGGTTAAATGACTCTTTTGCCCAGGGCCCCGACAACCCTAAGGCTGCCACTGCTGTGACAATATATTTTCAGTGTGGCATGAATACATTCTATTAGGTGCTTTCTCCCTCATTTAGGCCTTGCTTCACTAAAACACTTAAAAACATGCTTAACTTCCTAAGTTAATTCCATTGATATCAGTGTTAATATTAGCCATGAGCTTAAAGTCTTTGTTGAAGCAAGGCTTGAGGGGCATCATCAAGAAACCAGTGAAGTCCAGGGGAGTCTTTCCATTGATT